ATGTTGTTGGGCTTCCTTGTTAACCACAGTTTATCCATTACAAACACCATGTTAGGGCAAAAGGGTATTCCTAAATGCACTTGGCACAAGAACGCCCTAGGTCAGAGGTAGGTGATCGATTTTGTAACTGTATCATCAAATCTATAGTCATATGTCTTGGACACTTGGGCGAAGGGAGGAACTGAGCTGTTAACTGCTCCCCACCTGGTGAGGTTGGATCAGGTGGTCCAGTAGGATGCTGGACAACCCTAATGTACCAAAATGCATAATGAGGGTGTGCTCGTCAGGCAGAGGAGCTTTTCAACGCTCCTGCAGAACAGCAGTCCAAGAAAGCTTGGGGACACTGAATCAGAGTGGACCACGTTCTGTGCCTCCACTGCACAGAGACGGGGGCTGCAGGATGGTTGGTGTCCGTCATGACGGCAACCCCTGAACCAAATGGTGTACACTGGAGGTGACGGCAGCCATCAAGCTGTAGAAAGACTCCTACAAGGCTTGATTAGGTTGTTGAACTTAAGGAATTAAGTCAGTTGACCCTGCTATTGCACAACTGATATCAGGAAACAGCACAAGGCTTTAAAATGTAGATTTTCTGTATTTTCCTGCATTAGGGTCATGAAATAAGTTACACTGGGTTCGGTTGTTATTTATTTAATCCAAAGAATGGGGTGTATGTCAAAGCAATGGTTTCTTCCACAAAATGAATGATATATCAATTTTAGCTCTCTACTTGCCTTGACGCTTATTTGCTACCACCGTTATTCTGTTAGCAGATTGATTCTGGCTGTGGCACCTGCTCTCTGACATCATTCAAATTCCTTCTCACCTCAATCATGTGATACCAAGCAGGCCGTCTGTCTTTTAGTTTCAATAGGAGGAAAACAATGAGATTTCTATCTGTAATACTATTACTACCCTTAAAAGGGTTATAGCTGTCTGGGTTTACCTTGGTAAGGCAAGAGAACTTTATTAAGTTTAAGACCTTTTGTTTTTTTCATTTTTTCTGCTTCTACTGATACATACGAGCCTTTAAGCCCCAGAGAGAAGATATCAGCCTACTAAAGAAAAAAAGTTTAAGATGTCCCCTCATTTCACTTCTTCCTGTGCAAAAAAACAAAGTGTTATCTCTCAGAAGGTGGAACCTTTCTGATTTTTTTTAATGTGTTGACGGGAGTGGTTTTGGTGTGGCACTATGCGGCTGATTACAGGGGGAGACTTAATCAGGTGGTGCAGTCTGTCGGGGGCCCCAGGGGCCGAGAGTGTGCTACATCCTGTCAGACTACACAGAGAAACAATCAATCATCAGAATGGCTCCAAGACAGAAGAGAGAAGAGGAAGATAGAAGAGATGGAAGAAGAGTAGGGAAAAATGGAAGCAGTAGAGGATGAGTGAGGGAGGACACTCGACGAGAGAAAGAACATCATGGAGGAAAGAAAAACACTGTGTCCTTGCAGAGACTAACTTAAACTTATAAAGACATTACAATGCTTATGAAAACCCAATGAGTCTAGTTAGACTAGGAGCCATCCTGCAATGTAAGAACGTAGTGCAGAAGCCAGGCACACGTCAAAGCTCATAACAACTGATGTCTAACATTTTTATTGCGCCGCCTCTCTAACCTTCACCTACATGTTTGTTTCACTGTCCTGGCAAAGCCTCATCCTGTCACATTGTAAACACGATCGCATTTTGGCCATGGTTTCAAACATCCCCACAGATAAACACCAGAGCCAAGAGGAAAAAGAACAAGTGAGAGATGGGAAGAGAGAGATTGAGGTAGGCCTAGGTTTTATACTCTGTGGGCTTTGTCTGAGGGCTGTGTAATGATGCAGCTCTTTAAAGAACATCTTAAATAAAAGGCCAGAACAATCCTTAGTGACAGGTGGGATTTTTTATCTAAAAGCGGAGTAGGACGGGGCCAGCTAACACACGTACACACATGCACATACTTTTGGCTATGCACATTTGAAGGGGCATGCTCATATATAAACATCAGAGGGTCCCATAAAGAGGATTTCCTGTTCTGCCTATGTGAAGCAGAGGAGTCGAAATGGACAAACAGCAGAGCCTATAAAGGTGATTTATAGAATTTAAATAGATGTGCATTCTTGGCACACCATAAAGGATATTAAGTGCTCAAAGGGAGCGCTTGGAGACAGATTCCCTTAAAATGTTTTAATCTACAATTTTCTCCAATTATCTCAAAACAGGACACAGATAAATGACACAAAAAGAACATATGACATGAACAAAAAAGCCCAGAGTCCAGTTCTAAGTCTGCCAATCCCAACAGGACCAAAAGTGGAAAAATGTTTGGCTTACCTCTTGCCCCATCCCCCAGGAGAAGACATTCCCACCATCTGAAAAAAACCAAGTGAGAGAGAGAGAAAGACAACGTGAGGAAGAGAGAACTCAGTAAACCAAACAGTCCACAACAACTCAAGCGAAACAACAAATATAGAAAACGGAGGTTAAAATAGAAAAGAAAAAGATAAAAGAAAAAAAAAAAAACGAAGGGAGAGAAGGGAAATGCGCAGCTGACAAAAGTGGCTCAAGTATCATACATCAAGCACTTGTTACCTCTCCCGGTGCTTGTGATTGCACATGACTGCAAACAAGTCAGTGATAAAAATCTGAAGAAAGATGAGACCGATCGGGCTGGCTTTAAAGATCATCAATCACAGCCCTGTAAGCTCAGATATTATTAGTTCAAGTAAAGCTGCACTCTTCCATTTTATGGACATCATAAAAGACTTTGGGGGTGGGGGTATATAGAGGTGGAGTGTTGGAGATCCCCCAGTGTTTTAACTAGGACTGGGATGAATGTGTTTGGAAAAGCAGACCGGATGGATGGACAGCTCTAATGTAGTAACGTTAACTGAATCACTCACTCTGGACTGGGTTCCCCAGGGGAAGGAATGCAGGATGGGAGTGTAAGGCCAATTACAATATGTTAGACTTAGTGAAAGTGTATAATAATAAATAATAATAATAATAATAATCACAATAATAATAATATGATAATGATAAACAACATGCATGTTTGCACAGCATCATTTGTGAATATATTTTATGAACTTTTTAGCATTTATAGTGTAAGTGGGAACACACACACACACACACACACACACACACACACACACACACACACACACACCAACATTTAGGCGTACACAACAGGGCACATAGGTCTTTCAGAGATTTCAAAGAACAAGGATCCTACAAATGTGTGGGTTCCTCCAACAGTCCAAAAACTGTCAAATCTAAACTGTAAAAAGTGTGAATGCGAACACAAATGGTTGTCTGTCTCTATGTGTTAGCCCTGCAATAGACTGGTGACCTGTCCAGGGCGTGTCCTGCTATTAGCCCCATGACAGCAGGCATAAGCTCCAGTTATACCCCCGTGACCCTGAATTGGTTAAGCGTAAGAAAATGGATGGATGGATACATCACAGATTAGACATGAGGTCAAATAAATCAGATTCACGATGGGAACAACAGGTGCACACTCTGTGCTCAGTCTTCATATCGAATGAGACACACTACGAATTTTCTGACAGATACAGTCCCAATTAAACTGGTAGAAATATCAAGACACAGGAGCCTTGCTCTGGTTTGGCATGATTTTCTTAAAACTGAGAGATAATTTTTTTCTTTTCAAAGAAAAAAAAAACCCAGATATTATTTCTAAATAGTGCATGCATTTGTATGTAATTCTTTTAGATTAATGTAAAAACAACCGTAATGCTGCTTTAGCACCTGCTGACACCTGTTGAGGCTGCACCATGTTCTCTGAGCCTTTCTCTAAAATACTACAACAGATCTAAAAGGACACTACTAATTCTGGGAACAATACAAATATCTCACAGAAATCTTGTGCTCACGCTGATCAAATGTATTAATATTTTCTAATAAAATGTTACACAATCCACGCTCCTGCCCTCCAAACAATCTCTCTGTTTTGTATTGCACATATTCCTCAAAACTTTTTTCTTTCCAACCCCCCTCCACTCTCTCTCTCTCTGCCTGCCACTGAGGACATAAAGGCTAGTGTGAAGTCCATCACTGCCTGGTGAATAGCTGCCCTTTGTGCCTCAGAACTCAATTCAGACGCTGAAAGGACTGCAGCCCTGCACCTCTGTGTGCTGGATGATTTAAAAGAGTGTGCATGTCCACGGTCTGCCTGAAAGCCTTCTGTTAGGTTAAACATACCAGGTTCAGTGTTCCAGATTCTAAGTTTACTACACTTGTTGAATACCTTATCTGAATACAATCAATTCTGATACCAACACTTGTCTTAAACCAGTGTCAGTTTCAAGGAAACACAATTTTAACATAGCCAAAGAAATATCCTCTGCAGTTATTTCCAGCTCGTGGTAACAGTGTTTTAGGAGGTTGCCTGGTATTAAAGAATTTATCCTACCATTTCAACAACCATAACTTTCCTGTTGTTTTTGGCACAGTTGGAGTGCGCATCGACAACACACCGACCTCTCTCCCCATCTTTCCTTCTGCGCTCACATAGACCTTCGTTCGGCTTGTTAGGCCTGACACTGGCACCCTGGTGAACAAAAGGACTGCACGGCTTAGGGCTGCCCTGGAATGTCAGCGGGTTCACATTTCACATGCAGATGCATGACCCCAGAGCCCTTTAGTGGGAAGGTGCGCTTTAACCTCTCAGAGAAGCAGAAGGAGGGGAGAAGGGGAGTAAAGGGGCACCTTAGGGGGAATATGGGTTGGGGGAAGGGTAGGAAATAAGAATGTCTGAGTTTGCACTGCTTGCATCTGCTCCGAGTGCCTATCTTCCCTCTCTTTCCCAAAACACTCCCGCACAATGTTAAACTCCGCTGATATACCTTATAGAATATTATAATTGTCGATATTCTGAAAACTTGTCAGTGCCGTCTCCTTTCTGCGTGATCTGTGATGCGCCCCCTCTTCTTCCCCTACTTTGGAATACATGAAAGCATTACATTTTTAAATGCATACTTAAGATTTCTCCCCAAATAATTGAAAAAGCACAATGGGAGGGGTTATGTAAGGCAAAAGTACTGTGAGCTCCGCAAAAGAAACCAAAGCTACTGTCATCTGCTCTCTGTAGGCCCAGGCAGGCACAGTTTCAACTCAAGGGCTTCGCACTTCTTTAACTTGTTCTCCTTCCCTCGCTGCTCTCCCTATCCTAACTCTCTCTACGCCTGTTTGCCTCTCCTTCTCTTCTTAGCTCTCAGTAGTGAAAACTTCAAAGACAACGAGATCTTCTGCAAAAGCATAAAAACTTCAAGCATAGATGTTTGTTTTGACCCTGAGCCCCTTGCTGTAACCCCCCATTCCCCCCACCCCACCCTTACTACTTGCAAGTCCTGCAAAATACATGAGGATTAAATCTGGATTTTTTTTCTCACTCAAATGCAACTCTCATTCTTCCATGTGATACTTACGTGTAAGTTTTACACAAAGCAAATCTGTCGTATGTCACTGCAACTAAAACAGTGACCTCACAAAACTGATGGCAGAAAATGAAGTTTCTTGTGAGGAAAGAGCATCAGTTTTTGAAATGTGCTGCAAGTTATACACTTAACAATGAAAAAATGAGAAAAAAACTCCCCCCAAAAGTATAAAAATGCACAAAGTGAACACAAACATGCATTTATGCTTCCACTCTGCTGTTGTGTGACTTCTATAGTTGTCTGGGTTGAGAATTTAAGTTATTTCTTGAGAAGTACCAAAGGGTCATATCTGTCAGCAGGTTGTTGCCCCTAATCAGATTTGTCATAGCAGTTCAATGTAAAAATATAGTAAAGTGCTCACTATAATACCAGACATTACCTTACATGACACTGAATAAAAATAAAAAGAGACCACTCAAGTTTTTAGCATTCTCTCATCATATTGCAGATGAATTACGCTCGGTTTGGTACAATGTGGTTGACCTTGGAAGGCATGGTGAAGTATAAAGCATGCTATTCACAGGCATCACTTATTGTGCACTCTGCTTTAACTGAGAGTACTGTGTTCAGTGCAGTGACAGTGTTAAAAGAAACACGTGCACACAAACACACAAAACACATAAATGTAGCCTTTAAAATGCCTTAAAAATGTTGTTAAACAAACAGCAAAACCACTGGCTTCACCAGCCGACTTCTGTCGATGACTTTACTTACTGGAGTCCGAGATTTTGCTCTGTGAAGAGACGAATCTATATTCAAGACAAAGTGCTCAATTTTTAATTTGCACACTCTACACCGAATATATGAGAGACTAAGTGTGCGCTCTGTGCTTAGCAGCTCTGCCCTCTAATAGTTGAGACATCTATAGCATCCACAGCAAGGCCAGGGGAGCAAGGGAGCAATCCATAGGCCTGCGTAGCCATGGCAACTAAACAAGGAATAGGCTAGATGTCAGGCGAGCATGGCTAAATTACCCATTAGAGAAAGCAGGAAGGGGAGAGAGGGAATACTGGTCAGGGCACAAGAGGCTAATGGGGAGATAAGATGGCCAACATATATACCACACACGTGCGCACAGACATACACGCACACAAAAGTGCACGCAGTCACACGGAAACAAACAATGGGAAAACAGACCTAGGCTGTCACATGAAGATGCCACTTATGAAAACATTCTCAAATAATAAATTCAAGTAAAACTTTCACAGTGTTCACATGCAGTAATGCACTCATAAACCTATGCAGGTATACATATACTAAAAGTATGTGTGCGCACACAAACATACATGCACACACTAGCATACAAAGGGCACACGGGGAAGACAAAATGGTTTTAATAAAGACGCCCTCTTGGAGAGGTTGCTGGTGAATGTGAGGGAGATGTATTTATAGGAATCCTCCTGTGAGATCCTCTGTGCCGGGATTCACATCTTTGCATGAGAAAGCGAGAGAAAGGGAAACAGAAAGAATGAGACAGAGATGTTGTGTTATTACCTGTTTCTTCATCCTAATCCTTGATGCATGGCCTATGCCTTGAGTCTATACTGCTGAATAAAACAATAAAGAACAAATGGGTCTAAGCATCTGCACCTTTGGAGGTGTGAAAAGGTAAAAGGGATATTGGCCTAACGGTTCGTTCCTACTATGCGCTTACATGCAACTGTGCACACACCTATATGTATCCAAACAAGCGCAAGCACTTAAAGTGTGCATATGTAAGAATATGGGAGCTTATTTGTGAACAAATGGTCTGTGAACTCACACGCACACACACACGCGCTCATGCACACAGACACACACAAACATGATACCGGTTACACACTCGTACACGGCTAAACGCACACACTGACACACAACCCCTCTACACACAGAGTCAGGCAGGCAGGCTCCTCCTGATTTTAATGCTGCACATT